AATTGTGCATATTAATTACCTAATTTGCATAATTAATTTTCAGCTTTTCTACTGATATCTAAAGTACTAATCATCACATTTCAATGAATCTAGAATTATGCAGACCCAATTAGTTTCCGGTAAATATTTGTGCATATTAATCACCTAATTTGCATAATTAACCAACTTTCACACTGATATCTCAGGTACTATACATCACATATCAATGAATGTACATGGATGCTGTAGGACAATAGACAGACCTGAATAATTGTGGGTTAAAATCTGTACATATTAATTACCTAATTTGCATAATTAACCAATTTTAAGCTTTCACACTGATATCTAAAGTACCGTAAAAACTCCAAAATTTCGACCGGTTTTAAATAATTGGTGTTAGAAATGTGACGTGTTTTTAGAGTCAAAATTAAGGTGCATTTTCGGACGGTCGAATTTTTCAGAATAGAAATCAGCAAAAAAAAATGGGGATGATAGACAGTGTGCTTCATTAGTTTTTAAAAAATGCAATGTCCGTCAATTGACGTAAACTTCCTCAGGTTTCACGGTAAAAGCAAAGGTCGTGGCCGAGTTGTAACTCAAAATCTAAACAAAGTCATCAATCAGTGAGTATTATGACAAGCAAAACAAAACATCAAGACGCGGAGAAGAGGTCAGCACAAAACTAATAGGTCAAAAGACAAAGCTGTCTCGCACAACCTAGGAAAATTGGACAAAAGATACATGGAAGTTTAGCAAACGATCTCCCTGACCCAGTGCAATGTATCCGGTTAGAATCAAAGCTCACGTGTCCCTTATTTGAGGGACCAAATTCTGCCGTAAATTCGCCCTTGGATTAAAAAATAAAATGGGATTTAAGAAAATAAAATGGGACTTTTAAGGTGTATTTTGGCGTCATTTTTCGGACATTTCAATCAATCCTGCCGGCTAAAATAGAGTCTAAGTTTTACCGTAGTCATTGACGTCTGTCTATTCAAGAGTACACGTGTATGATTTTTAACGTGACTAGCGTGAGCGGGTAAGCTTCCTTTCGAGAATGAGCTGTTATCACTGTGAACAATGTTAAATTATTCTTCAGATGACCAGTTTATTTTTTAAAAACAACTAATTTTTTTATTTAAAAAAAATCATGCCGTTTTCGCATCAAAATCCAAGCCAAAATATCGTACTACAACATCAATCTCTTCCGCATTGCGTTCAATAACATTAACATATTTAAATAAGCTATGGTAATTTGAACACGTTGGCATCATCCAGCTTTTTGATTGGTTAATTAGCGATTTGACCTATTTGACCTAAGAGAACATGGCGGATATCCTACAGCATCAAACGTTTATGCGAGACCGGAATCATTCGCTTACGATGAAACTAAGTTGACTTTTATTTGTATTT